ATGAAATAATCGAAAGTTTATCAATTCGTAAATTAAGCTGTATTTTTTTAATAAATAATTTACTTGTGCATATTATGTTTTTAACGTATACAAAGCTTTTAAAAACTATTTCAAAAGTTTATCTTTTTTCAAATTATGTTTTCATCGGTCAGCAGTTTTTTTTCATCGTACAGATTAAAAAATAATAATTATGTAACGTGATATTGATTTTTGTATACAATTTAACCTTACACGTATTATTATAATAATATTATATTATTAATAATAAGTATTTAATTACATACAAGAAGTATATTTACAGGTACCTACGTTTATATTTTCATTCATTTTACAGATTTGTTTACCATTACTTAGKTAGGTACTTCAGGTATTGGATTATAAATATTATTTTCCTAACGGATACAATAATGTTGTTTTCAAATAATGAGGAAAAATTTAAAATATAAAAAAACATTTTAAACATAATATTTAAGAATACTATCGATCATTTATTTTTTTTAAATCYCATAGTTATCGCTTATAAACAAAAGTATATTCCTCATGAAGAACCAACCACCGTCAGAATGCATCACATGCGGAAAAACCCTCTCAGTTAAACACTTGATGACAGAATGCCGATCAAATGAAGAAGAAAGAAAAAAACTAAATATACCAACGAACTTATACGAAATAATCGGACCTGACTGTCAACCTTGAAAAAATTATGTCATTCCTCAGGACAACCGAAATAGACAAATACATTTAAATAAAATAAATATAGTAAACAGCCATAAGCCTCAAAGTTCCCTTATTATTGTAATACAATTGTCACCTAAAACATGTAATAGTATAATGTAAATTTAAGTATAAAGCTAATGGCCCATGTCACCGAAGCTACAAAGATCAATAAAAAATAAATTTAAAAAAAGTATATTACACTAAATACAAAATGTAAATAACTGTAAATAATTATTAGACACGCCAAAATTATTGATAAATAGATACAAACGATGACCATTACGCTAGTGACCTAGTTATACACATGTTACTTCTCTAAACCAGCAAGCAATTAAATAGATCTATACTTGCAACCTAAAAGTGGAAACTTTGGCGCAAGAATCGCATAGCCACTTAGCCCCTTATTCTCCCTTGGGGTCTAAGCAAGTATTTTGAATGGTCGCCTAAGGGTTTAAAATAATTATCATAATTAATTTAACTACAATCATCAGTAAGTTAAGTAACATACTAAGGAATAACTAATGGAAATTGTATTATTTGTTTTACAGTAAAAATAAGCTAATGATAGTTAGATATTTAGCTATTTTATACCATTCCAAACAAGATTTGTTACAAATGTTAATTGTTTAAAAATGTAAAAAAAAATTATACCCATACATAAATAACATATGCCTAATGTTTTATCAAATATACTTTTGCAAATCAGTTATATAGATATACGTCACACAAACTTATTTGAACAACTGGTATGCACATGAGTTAATTTGCCATTAATTTAAATAAGTTATAGCAACGTAATAATGCTATAAAA